AGTACCGTGCCCCGTGTTTTCTCACGAGCCCTGCCAACCTTCGCCATTCGACAAGGTGTACTCTACAAAGAGAACTTCGGGGACAACAACTCGCCGTGGCTGCTGGTAATCCCGACCGACCTTCGAGAGGAGATCTTTCAAGCATGTCACGACGACCCGACGTCCGGACACCTTGGATACAGCAGGACATTGGCCCGTATTCGTGAAAAGTATTACTGGCCCAAGCTCCCCGAAACCGTCCACCACTACACCCGATACTGCCACGAGTGTCAGCGACGCAAGAAACCGCCGACGAAGCCGGCAGGTCTCCTGCAGCCAATTCCTCCGCCAACTGCACCGTTCCAGCAGATCGGAATGGATCTACTTGGTCCTTTTCCGCCGTCGACCCTGGGAAACCGTTGGATAATCGTCGCCACAGATTATCTCACGCGGTACGCAGAAACGAAAGCCCTTCCTTCGGGGACTGCGGTTGAAGTCGTCGAGTTTTTCCTCGATTCCATTGTCCTCCGGCACGGCGCTCCCGAAGTTCTGATTACAGATCGCGGATCGTCGTTCATGGCACAGCTGACCCAAGAAATTCTCCGGCTCAGTCACACCAGCCACCGTCGTACCACCGCATACCACCCGCAGACCAACGGGCTGACGGAGCGACTCAACAAGACAATCGCCGACATGATCTCTATGTACGTCGACGTTGAGCACAAGACGTGGGACGAGGTGTTGCCCTACGTCACGTTCGCCTACAATACGGCGGTTCAAGAGACCACTGGATTCACACCTTTCCAGCTGGTACATGGTCGGAAGGTAACGACCATGCTGGACGCAATGCTGCCCCATGAGCCATCTGACTATGACAGCGACGACGCCCAGGCGGTTGCTCAACGCGCCGAAGAAGTCCGCCAGCTCGCCCGACTCATGATTCAAGACCAGCAACGCGTCGACGCGGGCCGCTACAACCTTCGTCGCAGGGACGTTCACTTCCAGCCCGGAGACAGGGTGTGGGTGTGGACGCCCATCCGTCGCCGCGGCCTCAGTGAGAAACTGCTGAAACGGTACTTTGGACCATACAAGGTACTTCGTCGCCTCGGCGAGCTGAACTACGAGGTGATGCCCGACGGAAGACGAACATCGTCACGCCGCCCACCACGACCTGAAGTCGTCCACGTCGTGCGACTGAAGCCGTATTACGCTCGATAGGACTGTGGACCTTATGTGTTCCAAATGACCCTTTAGTTTACCGTTCTGTTTTATTTGCTTCGTTTTGTTTTTGGGTTGCATCGGGACGATGTACTTTTTAAAGGGGGGAGTAATGCCGCGCGCGCAGCTGGCCAAGTAGGCAGCGCGCGCGTGGCCTAACGGTTATCGCGCTTGCCTCCCACGCAGAAGGCCAGGGTTCGATTCCTGGCCGCGACTACACATTTTTGTTGACAGTGTAATTTGATGTTCTAGGGAATTCGAGAACCGCCTTGCTGATTAGAGGTTAGAATGTTCTACACACCGAACCTTCTACGCCGAGCGATCCAGAAACCCACGAGGGTACATAAGGGATTCCGCAAGGCGAGCGGAGTCAGTTTCGCCCCAGCGTTCGACTCTGCTGCTACGCCGACCTCGACGCCCGCGACGCTCTGTTATTATCTTTTGTACCCTTTTATTTTGCACAAGTTCGCCACATTAAACGTTTATTTCTTCCTGTTCATTTCTTGTTTATTGGTCACCACACGTGACAATATTAAAGATATATTATAGACATTGAAGGGCGCGGTAAGCGTGCCCGCTGTCTGCTATCAGCGCCATCGGGGACGTAGCGTTGCGTCCTAGAAGCGGTAAAGAACGATTCGAACCGCCGGTAAAAAGAATAGGTCGAGAGAAGCGGAGAGACCATCGGCGCCGGCATGCACGCATGCGCGTAGTCTTCTGATCGTGACTGTACATACGTAATTTAACATTTTCCTACATTTATCATAATTCTCAACATAAAGTGGGAAATTAGTAATGCTCCGTGAGGAGCCGGACTTTTTTTTAAATTTTACTAGGGTTCTTGAGGCGAAAACGTCTACAGTCGAAAGGGGCAAAATGCCATATGGGGCGCTTTCAATACGCTAAGTTACGAAGCCAACTGTCATATTGCGACCATTGCAATACCATGCCGCCAACCCATAAAAGAAGTGCTACAAACTACTAAAGTAACTTCTTTGTGCCTTTTTACTTACATTCGTTGAGATTGGTTGAAGACTGTTTAAGAGAAGGGTCAGTTGTAGTAGCAGCTGCGAAAGACAACATCAAAAAGGGCAACGAGAACACCTTGAAAATAACTCGTCGATAAAGGCCGCTTCACACGAGGAGGGCTTATGCCAAGTCATGCGCCAGCATCGCTATTACTGACTTTGGAGTATGGAACCATGAATAATGCCAGAAAAGACTGTATTTAATGCCGTTACAGTGCCTCACCCGCTGTTTCTCGGAAAATCAGCCCCTTGTGAGACGGCCACATTCATTGTTATGGCGCCCTGTGCATTCTCGAGGGCGCCCATCAAACCACTCTGCCATCTTGGCTGCCAGGCGGCTACGCAGTTGCTTCGCCTCAGACACGATCACATGGCCGTGTCGCCGCGGGGTCGATTGGGATCTCGAATTCTGCTCCCGACTTGCCGCTTTCTCTCCTAGCCACTGGATGGCGCTGCAGGCGCCCCAGTCCGGGCGAGGAGAAAATGAAAGCCGTTTACAACTCCCTGTAACGCCGAATTAGAGCGCAGCTCTTGAGGAGGAGGAGGGAAGGGTACTGAGGGGGTGGGTCAAGTGACCTCGGGTGGCGGGGGGTTACGTGACCTCGTGGGAGTCACGTGACCTTGTGGGAGTCACGTGACCTTGGGACGTCACGTGACGTTGGGGGTCACGTGACCTGGGGCCACGTGACGATGCCGATGACGTCATCAGTGACGTCATCAGTGATGATGATGATGATGACGATGCGGATGCAGGTGACGTCAACAGTGACGTCACTGATGACGTCATCAGTGATGATGACGATGACGATGCGGATGCCGGTGACGTAATCAGTTACGTCATTGATGACGTCATCAGTGGCTATGACGTCAACGGGGGGTCACGTGACCCCAGGGGCGCTCACGTGACCTGGGTAACTATCGTGACCCTCGTGAGGGTAACCCTAGTAACCCTTGTGAGGGCAACTCTCGTGACCCTCGTGAGGGTAACTCTCGTGACCCTCGTGATCCTCGTGAGGGTAACCCTCATGAGATTAACCCTCGTAACCCTCGTAACCCTCACGAGGGTTACGAGGGTTGCGGTTACGCCGACGCCGACGCCGACGGCGACGCCGACGGCGACGCCGACGCCGCTCAAGCCGGGAACGGGCCCCTAAGAGCTGCGCTCTAAAACCACCTCGCCCATCGATCGATAGAGTCGGGGGACCGGTAGGCAAAATGTACAAAAAAGCACGACGCTGCAAAACACTTCATCTAAACTACAAATACTCCACGACATTACACATATATTTACAAACGCCCGTAAAGTCCGAGTTACACACAAAGAGGGCCCCAGGCCTCGTGTCCCGCGATTACCCTAGATCCGGTCGCACACACTTGCCTGTTTTCGGTGCCTTCCTGGAGTACTAAGAGACTTTTGCCTCTCGGTCCCCCGACTATTTCGATCGACGGGCGAAAAGGTTTTTCGTCGCCCGGACTGGGGCGCCTGCAGCACCATCCAGCGGCTAGGAGAGAAGGCGGCACGTCGGGAGCCGAATTCGAAATCCCAATCGACCCCCGGCGACACGACCATGTGATCGTGTCTGAGACGAAGCAACTGCATAGCCGCCTCGCGGCCAAGATGGCAGAGTGGTTTGATGGGCGCCCTCGTGAATGCACGGGGCGCAATGCATACTGTATAGAAACAAATAGCGTAAAAGGCCCATGAGGCGAAGGGTACAATATGCACTACAGATTTCACGTCCGGAATTCCGCTATACTTCGTTTCAATTTATATATAGTGTACCAAAAACGCGCCTGCGACTGGTGTGTTTACCGCGTCCTAAGAAATGGACCCATACGACGTCACGGAAGTGCCATGTCGGAGGCCACGATCTTGGCGGCGGCTTAGTAGCGGTGGTGCATGTGGCAGAGAGCCTAGACTGAAGAGCAGGTCCATCCTAAACCATAATGAATGTTTGAAATTTAATAGCGGACGCCTCCTGTGGAGATTGGTCGCAAGTGCGCATGCGCGGCGTTTTCGCATGGCTAGGAGGAAAGGCTTAGAACTTTGCAGACGATCGACGCTTTCGGCACCTCCTAGCAGCTCGTATGCGGGGCGAAAGTTCGCCTGCTTCTTTTTGCAGGGCTTGTGGTGACGTCCGAGCACTGAGCTGTGATTGGCTCCGATTGAAGGAGAGTAGGTAGACCTCGAAGCAAGCTGCCTTGAGGTCTACCCACTATCCTTCAATCAGAGCTCGGCGTTCTGACGTCACCACAACCTCCGCAAAAGAAGAAGACGAACTTCCGCCCCGCATAGACCTGTAGCTCTCAAGTTTTGAGCAGCGCCCCTGGCGGGCAAAATAGGATATGTTTTGGTCGCGTTTTCGTCGTGCGTCGGGTTGCACCCTTTGAAATGCTTCATTAGAGCGCGTGCAGAGATGCTGAGAGACGTTACTGTAGATCGTGCATGATGGGACGCTAGAAGGCGTCTTCACGTCAGCATTAAATGGTCGTGTCTCGCGGACGCTAGCGGAGGCAGCTATTTTGTGGTCGCGTCTTCTTGACGCACTGACCTGTGGCGGTCAGTAAAATCTCAAGAAAGGATAACAAAATGCACCGAGTCAGCGTGGGGTACTGCGACATTTTGGTCGCCAGTGACAGCAAACGAACTTTTAAGACTCGGCAATTTGAATTCTCTAATCGTCGCGTTGAAATTTAAAGCAAACTTTTTATTCTTTTTTGTTCCTTCAGAAACGGGAGGTGGGTCTAAAGTTGGGCTCAAATTGCGATACTTACCTTGAGTAGTGGTCTCAGCATCTCCTGTCAAATAAGAAATTCACGGGGTTAGCTTTAGAACAAGCAAACAATGCAGGCCGCTAATTCTTAGATGTTTAAAGGAGCGATGCAACAAGTTTTGTACTGTGCACAAATACCGCATAAAACGGATCCCTAACGTGAATGACCTATGAAACACGCGTTCGTTTTTCATCCCATGCAATAGAAGTCTCCCCAAAAAATTAAGAAAAACGAGCAGCGTTCACCCCCTCAACTCGTAGCCAGAACAAGCGGCCACGTGATCTGGAGCCGATTATATGCCGCCAGTGTTGATCATAGCCACGCGCTGGGGTTGGCAAAGCGCAGGACACGCGCTGAGTTCCAGACATTGTTATGGCTCGGCTGTTGTCGTCGTTGCAGCGATTGGACACGGGTCACAACCCGAACGCTTCTCGAGCTAGCAATTGTAACGAGCCCAAGTCGAGTGCCCACGCAATGCTCGGGTCCAATCTATGAACCGCATTCAAATACCGTCACTTGGGTGTACTGCGATCCCCGAGTTACGTCATCAAATTTTACAAAGGAGAGATTGAATGAAAATGATCGCTTTTTGCCTTGAGATTACACCGCAACAAAGGAGTTTCTTGGCCAATGGCGTTGCGTGTGAGTATCCTTGAGTCCCAGGTGTGCCAGTAAGCTCGTGTAGAGAGAAAAGCATTCCAATTGAATATCGTTGCACAGCTCCTTTAAGGGTCAATCACGAAAATATATATAGTGTATAGAAATTTTGAGCGGTGCACGCCGCTCAAAAAAGTAACGTTTAACGACTTACAGTTATAAGTTTCTCGGGTTTAAAATAGTAATTACTCATTTTTCACCTTCCGTTAGAAATTGCATTCAAATATATCAAGTTATTTTTTAATAACAGATATACTATAAAAATACGATCAGTAGATTATTGAAATAGTTTGTTGCTATATCGCGCGTTCCTTGTAATATCAAAAAAAAAAATTATACAAGTCGTGCTAAAACAATTATTTATGAGGACCATTTTCATTTACCGTCGTCCCCAAAACTTTTTTTTCGTATGCCGAAAATAACATTTCCAGCATACGAAAAAAAAAGAAAAGAAAAGCAAGGCAAGACAGTTTGGAGCAAGTAAAATAATATAAAAAAGGCAATACAGTCGTCTTTACACGTGAGCTCGTCCCAGTGGTGTTGCGAAAACAAAACGATATGTTCTCGCACACCGGAAGCTCCGCGATTCAAAATGGCGGCGGCCGCGTAGAAAAGGTCGATACCGGGTGTTTCTACCAAGGACTTTCATAAATTCTTTAAGATAGGGAGGGTGAGATAAAATAAACTATTTTCGGGAACAAATCGTCAGCCACGGCGGACGTCGAGTAATTAAAAAAAAACATACTAATTCGTGAACGAATTACCTAAAACGTTATGATTACCTTCTAGTGAGTAAAAATAAACACGTGGTTTCAATTGGGAACTTGCTGTGCGTCATCGAAAACCCCTAAATCAGTTTAGGACGGCTTCGAAGCGCGTAGGAAGCGCGAGTGAGCGCTAAAGTCACCACTCGTGCAGTCGGCCCAAGGTCGGCGATGCGGGAACGGGAATGACAGCCTTGTCATTTGGGTTTTCGCATCGCCGGTCTGTTTGAGTTCATATTATCCGCGCTAGCCACCAACGCATGAATTCATCGTAGCTACGTGCAAAGTCTCTCACCGGCAATCTTGATTATTACGAAGGCGCCGAGAGCCAGTATAAGTATAAGGATTCCCACGATGACGACTGCGGTGATGAGCATCTTCTTCTGGGCCTCGGCCGCATCTTGGCCTGCCTTCACGGCTGCCCTGCGCGGTGAAGCGTAGCGCTCTTGAACGGCCGGGAACGCCCGGCAAGATAAGCCGGAGAACGGTGCGATGCAACGCAGATTCAGCTATAAATCAACTAATTGTTTGTGAACAAGGCCATTTCCACGCATGCGCAGAAAGCCGTTTTCTAAAGGGCGAAGCCATTGCCTTTTGCTAATGTAAGAAGCGGAATAATGCCACCTAGGAGGCGTGAGCCGGAGCGGTTTCACCTATTTGCACAGGTTGTTAAAAAAAAAAAACTACAGGGTTTTCTTTTTTTCAAAAATAAACTACGATTCGCCGAACGCGCAATCTCCTACAAAATTCAGCGCTAGCGTTCTGAACCAAATGGAAAAGTTTCAGAACTAACGTGCATCACATTCAAAAGTTATACGCAATTTTCTGAAACTTTCAATGGAAAAAATAAGGCCCGTTTTCGCCCGTTTTTTTTTTTTTTTTTTAACTGGCGTTATGTAGCATTTGAGAGCTCCGTCTGGCTGCCATTTTCCTCTTGAAAATTTCTAAAACTCGCTTTTAACTTTTGAATAAGGACTCTGTTATCTTTGAAACGTTGGCATCTGGGTAAACTCTCTAGTGCTACATTTGGGCCGATAATGGACGACCGGCGATGCGTATACTTTATTTTTGCAGTTATTAAAACCCCGTATCTTTTATATATATATATATATATATATCCTGTATTTTAGTTCCGAAGTCTGGTGAGGCTCCCACTGTTCTCAACCGTCGCCTTGTGCGATTATGTCTTACGCATGAAGACAGTGTTTTCCCGTTCAGTCAAGTTCTGTTTCGTCGTCAGCGACAGAAAGAAGCATCGGCTAGCGCTCGATCTTCGACGGTATGACTGGTTATGGTTGTCCGGCACATTCACACGAAGGCAAAACGCACATCCTGCGTTCGGCCAACGAGGTTGAGTTGAAACAAAAATGGTCAACGTGCAGGAGAGGTGCGTATTAATCATGATGTTTAAACCACCAGACTGGGAAGGAAACTTGAATATATATTATAGAGGACACAAAAGAAAGGTGACAAACTTGGCGGTCACCTTTCCTCTGTCTCCTCTAGTATATCCCATTCTCAGGGTTTCAACATCATGAGGTTCAGTTGTCCAAATTAGGGCAATGCATTAATATCTTTCGTCTTTGGTCTCTAAAAAAATAGTGTTTGCATTGTACAACTACATTGATGCGTGTGCCAAAACAACCGACTTTGCTACTTTGTTGCATGTCGCGGTAATCGCGGAACAAAGTGAACATTTAGGCGGAGCCCTAATTAATGGCGCGGTCTGGGAGACGGTCGGCTCGACGGCGTTGTTTGGAAGACGAAAGATATTGCTGACTTAAACGAATACCGCCCAGAATGACCAAAGCCCCGGCACTTGCATTTTTGACGTTATCACTATGAACTATGAACGCAGACACAGATCAAACACGAGTGCTGCGTCAGCGTTTGGCTGGGTCCTGTTGTCCAATCAGTGAGAACACGACTCCTATAGCCGAACTCTGACGCCGTAATTGTGTCCAACATCTGACCTACTGGGGCCTTCTCTAGAGACGCAGGAAATGTGAGCGCTTAGGCTTTCTTATATGGTAGGTGTCGGCTTAAGCTGCCGCGGAAGAGACTGGAGCGCGTGCGGACGTCAGAACTCCGAGCTCTGGTTGGAACGATCAGGGGCTAGACTTAAAGCTACGCGGAGTCAAAGTTCGTCTGCTTCTTGCACATGGGTTGCGATGATGTCAGGACGCCTATAAGTAGACCTCAAGGCATCCAGCATTGAATTCTACCCACTATCTTTCCAATCAAAGTTAATCAGAACTTGGCGTCGTTCTGAAGTCGCCGCAACCCCTGCGCAAGGAGCAGACGACTTGCTCTCCGAATAGCTGCCTTTTTCTCCACTGCACTCGTCGAACGCGTTTGAATGCGAGAGTCAAACACTGGACGTCGACCTTCCGCGTCCAACAGACTCTTTTTATCCTCCGACGTTTGTTCAAAGGAACCCAGGGATGGCTCATCATCGTCCACGTTTCTTGGCTCGCTACTCGTTCTTGGGCTTTCTTGTCGGCTAAAGCAGCAAATCTCATTCGCTTGGAGACGATGAAAAAAAATGTTCTGAACTGTTGTCTGAAGCCACTACGAAGCTCCCATTTGAACAGTAAACGCGGGACCTTGGCGTCCGAAAAGTGTGTACGCGACCTGGATGATTGTAAAATGTACTGACGGTCCTCGCCCCGTCCTGGCCACCATGATGGAGTCCATGGCTTTCCGGAACTGGATCTTGTCGACGGTGCTCCCCGCCACTCCGACGCTCGGCCCACCGTCGTCCCCCGCAACTTCTTCCCCGGGTTCTTCTTCGCCGCCCACATCCAGCTCGACCTTCTTTTCTGGTTGGGGCACTAACTCGGGTGTAACAGATCCAGATTCGACGTCTGGTGAGCCGCTCATGTCTAAAACAAAGCAATTATCCTGTAGAAAAAAAAAGGGGGGGGGGGGGGGGGGAGCTTGCTGCGTAAAAAAGATTTTAGAAATCTTGCAACTATGTACGTGTCTTACTACATGCAAGTATATACGTATTTTAGTATACGCAATTATACATACGATAGGATTTCAAAACTTATCCGCACAAATGTTTCAATACCCAACGCGCACGAACTTTTCAAAACCCAAGTCTGTCATGGACCACTGCGTTGGCAGGTCCTCGGCAGATTTTAAAATGACTTGCCACATCCACCACTGTCACTCGTGTATCCGACAGAGTCGCTTCACACGCACTCTGAACGTTGTCATCAGCTGTGGACGCTGACGGGGGTCCGGCTCCTTCTTCGTTGCTGACACTTGTGCATCCTTCCTTGAGCTTCAGCACCCACCCAAACACACGTCTTCGAGACAAAGCACTTTTTTATACTGTGCACAAACTATCGGCACCAGACACACCCTCATATCTCACAAAAGTAATCACGGCACTGTGCTCTGCTTTCGTGCAAATCACAAGTGGGGGAGCTATTGTTTCTAGCACTATGGTCACAACTGAACTGACGCAACACGTTCAAACCTGCGCAGCAGTGACTGGAGAGACAGCGGCCTCGCACGAAATGCTTTGGCACGTGTAACAAAGCGCGTGCAATTGCAAGCTTGTCAAAGTTACATTCACACACGTGCTGCATACAATTGCACCATGGCTTTCACTGCGTCACATACCCGCCATGGAGGTGATCTTGCTGCCGAGTGTAATTATTTCACAAATTATTTCACATTTGAAGCCGCTAGACTACCATACTATAACCTGAACGCTTCTGCTCGCTCCGTGTTAGAAAAACAAAATTCCGAGGACACCTAAGCACTTCTTATGAGTTGTGAATGCGAAAGCATGAATGTCGTTCTTCGGATCCCTTAGTTCGTCTGCGGTGTACTGGCGTAGACGGCTACGCTTCGCTACTGCCGAGGATGCGGCCGCCGACGATATAGATGCCTCAGGCGTCGCGATGCTTCTCGGCGGCGAAAGGAGCAGAACCCCCCCCCCCCCCCCCCTTAACCAGCAATGCCTGAACACAAGAGCGACGGCCGAGTGCGCTTTTTCCTGGCGTGCAGGCCGGAGCGCCAGGAGGAGGGCTTCTCTGTGGGGTGGCGTTCCTTGGAACTATACTCGTCCGGCCACGGTCTCGGCTAATGGCTGTATAGGAGCCGTTTCGCTGGGCTGGGAGTTGCTGTCGCGTTCCTCCGCGGTTACTACGGCGGTTACAGACGCAGCCGGCTCCTCGGCATTACTTTAGCGTTTTTGCGCGGTTACACACGCCGCCGACTCTTCGCGCCTCTTTTCATACAGCCCCAGTTAAAGCGTCTTGACGAAAAAGCAGGTCTCTGTCCGGTATCTTCCGAAAACAACACAGGAATGTACGTCCCGCATGGTGACTTCCGCCACAGCCACAGACCGGAAGTGCGCCCAGCGCGCCACCACCGCGCCGTGACGTAACAGAGCGGAGTTCGTGTATATACTTGGACAGTGAATCCTTTTTAAAGATGCCGACAGTCTAGCAACCCCGGCCAGAAATCGGGCAACTAAGTTTTTCCCCCGCAATACAGCGTTACTAATTCAAGACCCCATCTGAGTTAGTTACCCTATGTCCGCAGTGATGTGCCATCGGAATGAAAAGGTCTAGCGTAAGCGCCTTGGCTCTTTCCAGACAATCAGTAGACCAATATTTTTTCATTATTGTCAATAGACCAATTTCAAAGCCAGTTTTATTACGTTACCACTGCCGCCATGCATCGTGGGAACTGTAGTCTTTCTGTGCTTGCATCACGCAGTAGTGATACACGACCGCACGCCGATGAGCATCAAACCGGCGTGCGGTCGTGTATCACTACTGCGTGAAGCACGTTAAAGACCCCAGGCTAGCGGCTGTACCGCACTGGCTAAATTTCTCATCTACAGCTGGGAGACTCGTCGCCCCTGTAAGGCAGACCAAGTTCTAGGCTGTATAAACACACACACAACCCAATTATGGTCGGTAACCCCGTTGAGGGTCTACGCGAGCAGAGCGATGCGGCTCGAGCTGCCTCGTGAACTGGCGTCTGACTCCTATGAACTACAGTTATGGCGGCGTCACGCATGCGTGAACGCTTAGTAAAATTGTTCTAATGCTCACAATTTTTTATCTGCAACGATCTCATAAAATATTACCTAATTTCATTCCCTTTTCTTGTCGAGAAAATGACTTTTCAATATTCCCACCACCGCCACAATTTAACACGGCGGATAGCGTTTGCTGTACAGCAACTTCAAAACCGTGCTCTAAATTGCCCGACACTTTTTGCTTGATAAAGCATGAGCTTGTTTAAAAACAAACGGGAAAAAACCTGAATTCTTAAGTTTTGTTTTTGGAAATCGATACGTACTGAGCGGCCTTTGAACGCAGTGATTAATTATGGTGTAACAGAACACTGATGAATGAGAAATGTTGTCTTGACGCTACTTGCAACGGCGAATTTGAGTAGGCTCGCTCAAGATGGAGTGGCGAAACGAAAAGGAATCTCCATCTTGCGCTATCGCGAGGTCGGCTTGTTATAGGTGCTTACAGAGTTCGGCGGGTGGTTTTATTTGGATTCAAGCGGTGAGGTACATTCGTAATTTTTTTAGAGCGCAGCTCTTAGGCGCCCGTTTCCGGCTTGAGCGGCGTCGGCGTCGCCGTCGCCATCGGCGTAACCGTGCGGTGCATTATGGGTAAATTTCCCCGCTAAATTTAGCAGAAAATTTTCCCCGCTATATTTAGCGAAAAAAGTTTCCCGCTAAATTTAGCGGAAAAAATTCCCCGCTAAATTTAGCGGGAAAATTTCTCCGCTAAATTTGCCGGAAAATTTTCCCGCTAAATTTAGCGGGAAAAGCTCTCCGCCAAATTTAGCAGAAAATGTTCCCCTAAATGGGAGGCGAGCAGGAGAGGAGGAAGGGCACAGCCTCCTCTTCATACCTTCTCCTCCTCCTCCTCCTCAAGAGCTGCGCTCTAATTCGGCGTTACAGTGTATTGTAAACGTCTTTCTTTTTTTTTTCGAATTTTTACATGCGGCGTTGCATTCCTTGCGAAAGGACACTGTCGTTTGCTTCAATGTTCTGGCATGCTTTGTTTTAAAGAAATAAATTCCCGAAAAAGCGAGGAAGGACGACGGGTTTTTGACGATTGTCGTTTGTGCCATATTTGAAGCGCGCTATAACCGAAGCTAAATATGGTATAGACGTTAAACTTTTTAAGAATAATCTATGTACAGCCTAGGTAAGTGTCGTCTTAAAGGGGCACTCAAGTGCTTTTTGGAGAAGCTTGTTTTTGGAAGCATATTGTTTGTTGGGCTTCAGTCAATAAAAATGACCAGTTCTAAATGGCAAGGCGCCCTAGTAAACTCACAGCAATAGAAATACACAGGCACTATATCCTCTTGCGGGGTCCATCCCGTGTCTCCACCACCTCCATAGAATTCGACCAATAGAAATAGCGAACTGCGAAAAGATTGCTAAAGTTATTATTATTGCTCTTTTTAGGCACATGCACATTATATTTTGACAACAACGTCAAATCTTTGGCTGTAGGTGACGTAATACAGCTATTATTGTTTGAAAAAGAGCGAACTACGTTTTCTCCTCGCCTTGTTACGCGGGAGTGATGTGCCCCCGCGGTGACGCGGCTCCGTCGTGGAAAGCGCGTGGCTCGCAGCTTATCTCGCCGCGAGAACGATAAGGAAGAGGATCTTCTTCCCGAGGCTCCCACTTCCCGTTCTCAAAGCAAGGTTCACCGAATCGATCGACATCCACGTGTTGAAACGTTTATTCGTCTTCGCTTCCATGTGATGCCGAACGTTTGTGTGGTAAAGTTGTGCCCGAATCGAAAGGTAAAAAATATTCGAAAAGGTCTAAATTCACAAGCTTAGTATGCTGTCAATGTTTTTCTAATTGCGGTACTGAAACCCCAAGCACTATAAGCAATATGGCTCACAAATTCGTCTGCTCTTTGCTACGTTTGATCACTTCCTGCATGCGACCATAGGCTTTTGTACTCTCCCAATGGCTGCATGGGCTTGGCTGCTTCATTGTTGCGCGTTCCTTGTGCTATCTGTTTGTCGCCGTTAATTGGTCTGACCCTTGTATTCCAATGCACCAAAACAAGTTTAGAAACACTCACTGTCATCACATTTTTCCATGTCCCCCAAACGTAATACAGTATTGACTTTTCTTTTCATGTGCTCCCACGCTGACATCCTGAAGAGGCTGCGCCTTGGCAAAGCAGCTCTCCCGTTATTTTCTAATAAATGGGGTTTTCATCCTGGAGTTAGACTGGAACTGTAAAAATTAAATTCGGGCAAATGTGCTTGACAGCACAAGGACACCTAACCTCAACACCATTCATACTTGGAAAGGGAAAAACAGTTTCCAGTCTACACCACAATTCCCCCCCCCCCCCCCCCCCCCCAATCTGCAACACTGTCTCCTTTCAATCATTGACTTGTTCACAAAGCAACCTATAATATTGACACAACTTGCTAATTGATGTTCTGGCTTGTTTTATCACGACCTTTTGCATGATTATCCAAGCTCCGAGGAGCATGCTGAAAGTGCAGTTACACACTGTGGCATCTGCAACAGTTGCAAACGCCAACACATGCACACTCAACACTTGGCTACATCCCCACCTCTCCCCTTTGTGTGTTAGCAAAAGATTAATTTTTAGCTGAAAAGAATGTCAAGTAAAGATGCCTTTTTACTGGGTAACTTGTATGTGCATTGCAGGAATAAGAGCAAGAATTCCTAATTAGTGTTCGAGTCTTCCTAGCCAATTTGGCTCCGAGAACACAGCACTTGGCTAGGCTTTACATGAAAACAATCTGTCCATGCTCGTGTTCTCCAGTCTTTCCCTTCGTCTGTATCTAGTGGCGTTGTTCCAAAAATAATGTGTTATTCACAA